TTTTTTTGAGACAGGGTCTTGTTAAACTGCTCAGTTGCACAGGCTGGGCTCGAACTTCCGACTCTCTGCCTCAGGTTCCCAGAGTGCTGAGATTATAGGTGTGTGCCACCACACTCAGTTTAGAATAAACCAGTTTTGATCAAAGAAAAATCAGACTGGTTCAAATAAAGAGTTGGAGGGTTGCGGTCACATGTAATACTGGAAGATTCAAAACCTAAGCAAAACTGAGGCTCTGAATCTTTCCTTAACCCCACTCGCTGCCCTAGAATCCACTTCACTTGGCTGGCCTGGCTCCATCACCTCTTCCGGGCAAATCCTGGTTTATACAGTCACGTAGTCTTGAAGTGCTGTATGGAAATCAATTTGGGCTCAGTTGAATGCAATTATAAGTGATTAGTCCCAATTGTGTTTTGCAAGACTGACTTGTCCCTCGGCTTTCTCGATGTCCTCCCTACTTCATGCTTTCCCTTCATAGTATTCTTGGCTGGTCTGGGCCATTGCTTACCTCTGCACCGAAAAGCCTGGAGGTACTTACTTGTCACACACACTGTCATTACACTCTGCCATTCCAACCAATTGCCACATTGTTGTAGTGTGGGTGCAAATTTAGAACAGCCTTCATGTGTGCTCATTTATAAAGAAAATTATTTCTGATTTTTAAAAGTAAGGTAAGTATATTTTTAAGTAGTTAATTGCATTGGGTACAGTGGTGCACACCTGTAACTCCAGCTAGTGAGGAGGCTGAGGAAGGAGGACTGCAAGTTCCAGGCCAGTCTGGGCAATTTAGCAAGCTCCATCTTTAAATAAAATTTGATCTAGGCCAAGAATGTAGCTCAGTGGAATAGCACTTGCTTAGAATGCATGAGGCCGTGGGCTTAATCCCCACTACTGCAAAAAATAGAATGGTTAATTCTATATTTGACTACAATAAAAAGTAATATACATAGGTTGTAGAAAATTTTGGAAATACATGAAAGTACAAAAAAGAAAACAATTACCCATGAGCCCAACACCCATAGATAATGATTATCTTTCTTTTATGGTGTTCATATGTGTATGTATAGTATATGTGCTGCTGAAGCGAGCACTTATGTGTATGCATATATAAACATATATAAGGTTATTTATTTTTATAAAATTATGTTGAGTGCTTTTATTACTTATTATACAAAAATATTACTCCAGGTCATTAAATTTTTAATTATCAATAGTCTACCATATGGATGTGCCAGAAAGTTAAAAATTTCTCATATTTTGAATATTGAGGCTATTTCTAATTCTTGAGTATAATTGCATTGTAATAAAAACCCTTGAATTTTGTGACATCTGTGATGATATCCATAGGCTATATTTCTAGAAATTGACTTATGGGTCACAAGGCATGAATAATCCTGAGGCTCTTAAGGAAACTTGCATTCTGAAAATGTATAGATTTCCATTTGCACCAGCAGTAAGGGAGTCTAGTTCATCTAAACACTCATCCGCAGTAATCAACATTAGTGGCACTTTTTAAGTCATCCTGAACCTAATGCTACCTAAAAAGTGGTATCACACTGTTTTAATTTGAACTTTATTGTTCATAAGCAAGATTGAATGTTTTCCACATGTATCAGTTGGCCTTTTGTCTTTCTTCCTTTTTTTTTTCAGTGTGGTACTAGGATAGAACCCAGAGCTTCATACACGTTAGGCAAGTGCTCTACGACTGAGCTACACATCCAACCTTTTGTATTTCTTTATAAATTTTCTACTTATATGTCTATGAGTTTTTATAGAATATTCAGCTTTTTCTATTTATTCATAAGAAGTCTTTATATATTAAAGGTATTAGCCCTTTGTTATATCTTGCACATATTTTTCCCAGTTTGACATTTGGCTTCTAATGCTGTTTATACGTTATTACTGTGGTTTTACTGTATGAATTTTTAGAATTTTATGCAATTATTGTACTGTGCTTTTGTTTCCTTGTTTTTCTGCTTAAAAGCCTACCTCATCCCACAACCTAATGACAGTTCACTTAATGTCCTTTCAATATTTTAGTCATAATTTTTACATTTAACATTTTAATACATTTAGAATTTACCTGCTGTATGACATGATACAATCATCTAGCTTTTTAAAAAATATAGTTTACCAATTATTTAAGCACCATTTCTAATATTTCCTTTCTCACTACTTTGTGATGTTACTTTCAACACATACTAAATATAAATATAAATATAAAATATAATTTTTTCTTGGGTCTCTACCTCTGGGCTGTGTCTTATCAGTTTGTTCTTGTGCCAACACCACACTATTTCAATGTCTGTAGCTTTATAGTGACTTTTAATCCTCCTTGCTTTTCTTTGCAACATTTCCTTGATTATTCTCAGTCATTTGTTCTTCCTGATGCACTTTAGAATGACATGTGTTTAGTGTTGGAATTATATTTAACTAGAAACTTAGAAAAATTTATGTAAGATATTTTTTTGAAACAGGGTCCCCCTACATAGTCTAGGCCAGGCTTGAACCTGCTATGTATCCCTCTAAACTCAAAGATAGTCTGTCTTTTCTTCAGAATCTCCTTTTGTTTTAGTCTTCTAATTTTGGTTTTAACCATATGAAATTGCCAATATCTAATTTCTTATTATGTTCAAATGTCAATTTAATATGTTTCAACCCTTAAGAAAAAGTTTTCTTTATATGATATTAATATTCTTTTTTATAATAGATGACTTTTTTGTATTGCTGGGGATGGAACCCAGGGCTTCGCATATGGTAGGCAGACTCTATTGCTGAGCTACATCCCCCATCCCCTAAGGATACCTTCTTCCAAAAAACAAGCTAAGGAGAGGTGGTAGGGTTATGAAAGGGTTATGATATACTGTCATATTTTACTCATTTTTTAAAATATCCTGGCTGTAAGAATCTCACTGCCAGGGGCATCTCTCTGGCACTTCCTGCCACCTCATAACTTAGTGTTCTTTATGCAGAGTCCCACTTGTGGCGGGTAAGTCTAGTCAGGAGGAAGGGTTTCTGATGAAGTCCAGGGACATCTTAATGTGAGGTTGAGTGGTTTCATTCCTTTCCGTAAGCCTTTGCATTCCTTTCTCTTCCTGGTAGCTAGAACAATGTCCTCCTCTGGGAGAATCTAGCCAACACTAAATTCTACATTAGCGTATGTCCTTGCCACAACAGTCTGCTATAGACTGATATAAAACACACTAGAAGTGGGTATTCGAGGGCAGTCGTGGTCAACTTTTCTTCTGTATAAGAACCTTCTCTATAATGTATACATAGAGCTTGTAGAAGATTTCAAGTAGATGCAAAGTCATGATGATTAAAAAGGAAAACTTTTTAAATAAATAAATAAATACATAATAATAAATAAATAAATACACACACATATATATATACATATGTATATATATACATAGCAACCCTAAAATAGGAAAGGAAAACTCCAAAGGTGTAATTGTGCTGTTTTTACAACATAGGATCAGCATCTACTTATCAATAACATCATAAATGACATCCAAAGATAGAGGAAATTAATTCTTATGGTTTCAGTAAAAGTGTTTTTTTTGTGTGTGTGGGTTAATAAGTATTGCCCCGAGAGAGAGAGAGAGAGAGGGAGAGGGAGAGAGGGAAAGAGAGGGAAAGAGGGTGCCTATAGTTATATAATAAATATAACTCATGGTTATATAATATAAATTTATCCATCCACACTCTAAAAAATTAACCCCAAGACAAAAAACCACATGCTTTTCAATGCAAACATGGCATTTCCTTTCCTGGCCATTAGATGTCACTGCAGTAAACAGTGAGCACAATCAAAGTACTGCAGCCAGCAGCTCTGTGATCTCAGTCCAGTGATCTCAGTCCAGTTACAAACCTTATAATCCCTGCTCGAAATCTACCTTCGGTTTGGAAGATAAGGAGCCTAGAGACATCAGGAAAACCGTAAAGCTGTTGTTTTTCCTGCAAAGCACACACCTAAATTCACCAAGGAGAGAGAAATTAAAGTACCGTCTGCCTCCACTGAAGCAGGCAGGTTTTGCCAGTGGAACTGGTAACAAGGGACCTTTCCCAGGGAACCAGGCTACTGTGACTTAAACACATTTAATGGTAATATTTGCATTCCACTGAC